CTCCGGAGGAAACGTGGATTGCGTGGTGATGCAATGACGTTATTTAACTATGTGCTATAACATGTAAAATTCAATTCAATTCAGCTTTATTTGTATAGTGCTTTTACAATGTAGATTGTGTCAAAGCAGCTTCACATAAATGGTCATAGTATCTGGAACAGTGTGGTTCAGGTTTTAGTGTTTAAGTTCAGTTCAGTTTAGCTCAGTTCAGTGTGATTTAATCATTACAAATGGGATCATGAATGAAACATTCAAAAAGCAACTCATGCAAACATCTTAATCATATTGTCTTATTCAGATTAAGGCAGATAATTCAATTACTGATGTCCATGTAAACGTAGTGATGTAGTGAAACGTCAATGATGTCTTGTTAAGCAAAATGAACAGTTCATGCAAGAAGCTGAACATTATTTACAACACTCTCAACATTAACTCACAGCCTCTGCATACAGTCCGAAGTGGTCTGGAGTGTGAGCTTTAGCTGAAACTTTCTATACAGGTTTCAGCATCCAGGATAAATAAAAGTACCATCTTGATTTATTTCTTAAGATTTATTTCTTTACATACCTTATTAAGCATCAAAGCGTTTGTACCTTAGACTATCATAAACATGTTCAGGGCCGGGTTTACGAGCCTATGTATTAAAGTTCCCCAGAAGTGCTTTGAAATGTGCATTTTTATTTGATGCTTGATGTAATTTCAACCAAAACACAAAGAGGGAGAGACACTGTAGCTCCTCCCCTTTAATAAAACAGCCAATAGCATTTGTGCATCACACTCTGCCAGAGAGAGTGGCTGAGCTCAAGTGCATCAAGTGTGAAAAGTCTTAAAGGGGGCGGGGCATGTCAGACACTAGAGAGCATTTGATTGGTCATGATTTGATGAGAAACTGAAGTATGAGGTCAGGTGAATAAAACCATTGATCCATGTGGTGGAAGTGACAAGCTAAAAGCCTTACATGCTTATATCAGATTTATATCTTCTTAACACGAATTCTCACTCTTTTGGAGCACACTAGCTTATAGATATCCTAAAATCTAACAATACTAACATCTAAAACACTTTATTTTAAATTTATGAGACTTTAAAGGTAATATTGTTGCAAGAAATGTCACATCTTCATGAGACACCAGGAGCCACTGCTACTCTTTTTGTTTTGCCATTATATGTTGGTAGCGAGTGACTTGTATTTTATGTGTAAACAAGGACCAGTTTCAGCTAAAAAAAAAACTTCTATAAAATTATTCTTAGCAAATTAAGCAAAGCAAAGTTTCATTTTTGGGTGAACTGTCTCTTAAAGACAGTGAGTAGAGTCTCTATTTAATGCACATACAAAAATATCACTGTAAAAATGTACATTTTATATTAATGTACAATGTAAGAAATGAAAGGGTTAAATTGTTGAAGTTATGCAGTAGATAAATACTTTATAAAAGGATTGTTGTGTTTAAAGTTGCAGGTTAATAAAATTATCTTTTATGTATTTTGCAAGTAAGAAGCCGATCAAACTGTATCTAATGTCATAATAACATGAAGCAGTGACAGATCTTGTCCTTCATATTAAACATGGCGCGGTTAAATTAAACAAATCCAATAGAATAAGATTTGCATTTTTATATCATTGTGACTTTAATATTAAATTAATTTATACAACAATAAGCTAAATATGTTTGGCAGATAAGAGTATTAAGAAAACAAGCTCTAATTTTAGCACAGTCATGCATTGCACAGTGTACGCAGGTGGACAGTCTTGACCTAATTTAATGTACTATCATAATCATGTTAAACATAATATAAATCCAGAATCTCGTTTATTATAAAAATCACACAATCTTTCCAGTACTGTAAAGTGGGTTTAGTTTTGAAGGGGCGTGTCGGGAATCAATTAACCACTGAATTGACCCCACACTGTTGATGATGACGCATCATGTGTCTATTATTGGTTTTACCAATCAAACCATTTATTCATAATATACGTCAAAGTCCAGAGGAGTCAGTTCAGTTGAGTCCATGACCCCACAGAGGTCACACACACCAACACATTACATAAGAGTTTAATCAAAGTCAACAGTCAACTGAATGTGAACTAATGGACTAGAATCAGATCCATTACTGCTGAAAAACTTCAGTAACACTCATAAGGTGAACAGACAGTGTGTGCGAGTGTGTATATATGAATCCATAACGCTGTTTGTGCAATAAATCTTTCACTTTCTTATCTGGAGTGAACTTTGGCTTCCATAAGCACACAAAAGTCTCTAGATAACATGACCTGCTCGTCTGAAGAACACTTTCGGATCCGCGTTCTCTGTCTGTCTTCACGGCGCATGCTAGATCAGGGTTTACCGCTGGAGCAGATCGGGCCGAACAGCAGCACCGAACCGCCGGACTGAACCGATTCAGCGGCTCCAACAGTGCGGGAGATCAGAGGACAGAGATAAACTTACCGGCCGGGCCTCTTTTCAGCGTGAATTCAACATCGCTTGGCGCGCTGTGTGCGGATCCGTTCATGATGTCGGAAAAGTTTCACTTTTATTCCAGAACAGCTAAAACCCTCCTGAAGACAGTAAACTCCGCCTGCTTCCTCTAACGCTGCCGGGGATCCAGCGTACCCGCCACTGCCGCCTACCGGACACCACCGGTACTCTTTCACTCTGCACTGCAGTGATTGGATAACGAGTCACTTCAGGGAGTCGGCTCTTGCGAACAGTTCAGCAGTGGTTTAAAATTAGATTACGTCGTGACGTGGCCTCTGACATTGCAGCGTTTTTCAACATTCCAGCATTCGAGTTTTTGCAGTAAAAACTCGACACAAAAATTCACACTGTAACCCGTCACTGGAAAACACCCATACACATTCATTCTTATTCATAGACTACAGCCAGTTTAGCTTACCCAATTTATTTATAGCGCATGTCTTTGAACTTGTGAGGGAAACCGGAGCACCCGGAGGAAACCCAGAGCGACCTTCTTACTGTGAGGCGACAGCGCCGGCCACTGCGCCGCCCTAGAACAAAAATGATTGACTGTTTTATTTGACATTTTGGCATTTGTTGACGCAGTGGTGCAGTAGGTTGTGCTGTCGCCTCACAGAAAGAAGGTCGCTGGTTCGAGCCTCGGCTGGGTCAGTTGACGTTTCTGTGTGGAGTTTGCATGTTTTCCCTGCGTTTGCGTGGGTTTCCTCCGGGTGCTCCGGTTTACCCCACAATCTAAAGACATGTGATATAGGTGAATTGGGTGAGCTAAAATTGTCCGTAGTGTATGAGTGTGTGTGTATCCAGAGATCCAGTGTAGTTAGTATCCAGTGTATAAGCTGTGTAAAAAAAAAAGTGCTGAATAAGTTGGTGGTTCATTCCGCTGTGGCGACCCCGGATTAATAAAGGGACTAAGCCGTAAAGAAAATGAATAAATTAATTTTGGCATTTATGGGGAAAAAAAAGTGTCGTTATGGATGTAACATCTCACCATTATGGATGTGACGAATGTGAAATCGCCACTTGTGTGACTTTGGTAAATCAAATAAAATTTTTCAAAAAGATTGACTGAGACAGTTTTAAGTATTTTTGCAGTACTGTAAAACACAAACCTACCAAAAAACATAGAAAGGGTTTCGCTATTTTTGTGAAATAGAAATAATTTTGTGAATTAAATAAAAATATATTCACAAATGTCAACTTTCTTCTTCATCACCTAATTTGCATAACAGAATTTTCTTTGTGACATAAATTATACTATTACTACATTACAAAATGTTTACCTTAAAAAGGTGTAAAAACTATGAAACTATAAGGACTTTGTTAATTGTACGTAATTTGACCATTTTGCCTTGGCTTTGCCTTGCCAATTAGCTTTTTATATTGTTATTATTAGTATTATTAATTTTTTTATTCAATTTTCATTGTTTCCCTGTTTTATTATTGTACTTGATGTCATGGTTATTAATACAGTATGATTGAATTGGTAAACACAATAAAAAATCTGATAATTAAATGCTCTATGGAATGTTACATTAAGCCACATTTCAATATATATATATATATATATATATATATACACTCAAGCCTGAAATTATACATACCCCTGATCAATTCTGACTTAAGATTTTTTAAAACATAATCAAAATTGTTTTCTTATTTTCAGGGAGAAGCCTGTGTCACGCATGTCCAGCGGGGAAAAAAATGCTGGTTAAATAAAAGTAACCTATTTTACCCCTTTTTCAGGATTTAAGATAAGTCTGTTGAGTCTCCATAGTGTGTAAAGTTTTAACTCAAAACACCCGTAAAATTATTTATTATAACTTTTAGAATATGGAATTTTGTGCTCTAAACACACTGTAGCTGTTTTGCCGCCTGTGCCTTTAATGCTAATAATCCACTAACCGGGATTAAAGCCTCTCCTTTTATAATTGTACTGACCTGTGGCTGTGGTGATAAAGATGGTAAAATCGCTGTAATTCAGTAATATCATGCACCATTTTAAAAATCATTTTAAACTTGTAAAAACTCATTTTTGATCACATTTGATGATGATTGATGATCACAGCGAGCTGAACATATGTTTTAATCCTGGTAGCTTTGCACACGTCCTGTCTTGTGGATATGTTTATACATGTTTCTACGGAATGCTAATATGTGGCTGTCAGTCAATATGGTGGGTGGGGAAACTGCACTCCTACGTCACATTGTGGTTGGCCTCAAAATGGGATTTGGATCCTATTTTAAAGTCAGAAAAAAAAAAAAGAGACTAATTGAGTTTCTATCGCTCCAATATGACTGTGGACACACTATACCTGCACAGAGTTCTGTCCAAACAGCTTACAAAAGATGATTTTAATCATAGGTGCCCTTTTTTTTGCAAGGAGTATGAATATATTTCGCCTTAACTGTATATATGTGTGTGTGTGTGTGTTAGTGTCTAAATTGTCATGCTGTCCCACTAAAACAGTTGCCTTGACCAGTGAAATGCACAATGTAGTGCAAAAAACAGGTTCAGATATGAAATATTATGTCCAAGCACATTTTAATCAGGGTAATACAGCATTCGTTTGGACAAAATAATTTGCTTCCCTCCATCATCTCAATGATTTTCCTTAGAATAATAAACATTTTCCAACATTCATTCCAAACAAAAGAATATTCAGCCATTTAGATCTGCTGTTTTCCAGCTCAGTGTCGCAGCTCTGCTCTGAAGTTTCCTGAATTAGAGTTTATGGGCCCCCGCGGGCATCAGTACACATTTGATTTTCACTAAATCAGTCATGTTCCGGTATACATGCAAAAAGGGTAACTAGTAGAATGCACTCTGAAGGGTGAGAGAATAAGGACAAACAGAGTGATAATAACAGCGTCCTCTCAGAAGAGTCAAAACATCTTCTATATCTCTACAGTAATTCATTTGTTTAGATCATGTGCCCATCATGTGTTTGACTAAACTGCATTAGAGATGCAGGAACTGCTAGAAATGTTCACTCTTTCAGACATAACTGATATTTTCCCATGTTTACCAATGATTTAGTGTGTCACCTCCACACTACTGAGCTGCTGTGTGTGTGTTTGTGTGTGTGTGTTAGATCATGCTGGGAGCTGCGCTGAACAGAGTCACGTCTCCATCTATGCGCAGACGAGTGACGTCCTCCATCCCGCCTGTCCTGTGCTCAAACTCCAGCAGGTGAACACCGTCCACAGCCACCTTAAACCCGTCTGTCTCCACCAGGATCTTCAGCTGCACACATACACAGTATGAGAATCAGATCACCCTGATACACTTCAAACGAAAGGTTGTGACGTCAGTTTGAATGAAACTGGGCCAAAATGAAGTTTGCATGGAGTTTATTTTGGAAGGTTGAAAATAGCTTGGTAAAGTCCCCAGCAGTGCTGGGTTAGTCGCTTCAAAAAAGTAGATAATTACTAATTAAATCTTTAAAATTGTATTTAAATTACTTTTCTAATTACTTTGTCAAAAAAAATAATATAATTACTTAAAAAGTAATTTATTTACTTGACTCAATACTGCTTAAAATCCCTTATTCTCAAAGCAGAGACAATAAAAATTAAACTCTTTTAATAATTTATTTATTTATGAGTCAAACATTTCATACATAGCATATACTGACATAAATACATTACTCACTCCAGTGTTTCTTAAGCATTTGCAAATGTTGGTCAAACCTCCTTTATTTAAAAAATGGGTTATTAAGCGATATATATATATATATATATATATATATATATATATATATATATATATATATATATATATATATATATAGTCTGCTTATCAAAATTTTTAATTCAACTTTTCTCACTCAATTCCCTGATTTTTAAGCACATGCACTCATTTGTTAACTGAAAAAAAAAAATATCCGCAAAAAATGTAATAATTACTCTGCTTCTCTGAAAGGATTTTTACAGAACTGTTGGATTAGTTTCCAGTATTGAAGACACGTACATATTAAGTAACCGATATTAAATGTACTTAAAAACTTTGTCAGTGAGAAAGTAAGTTTGTTAAAAGTAAAGTAAGTTCATGCTAGTAAACACCTTTGAACTTCCATAGGTCAATGGAGATTATGTAATAAGAAGGTGTGCTCTGGTACTCTGCCCTCTTTGGAATTAAAATGGGGGGAAAAAAATCAATATTTGGGCCTTGATGTTCCTTCTTAAGGTTTGCGTGAAATGAAAATCTACAATGTTTATTATGATATTTATTATGATTTATTATGACAATTAAGTCTGTGTAATCAATTTATTGAACAAAATGTTTGGTAATCCTCAAAGTCTGACATTTGCTTCTGCGTTTGGAGTGTCGGTCATTTTCTGTTGACGTCAATATTCTTAACCACTCTTCCTTTAACTGAAGCCCTCAAACTGACATCAACATGAGGACCACCACTACAAACTCAGAAGACTTTGATTGAAGATTACTCAAAAGTTTTTTCTTCAGTGGGTTACATTCCATGGATTAATTGTTGATCTAATTAATAATAATGTGCTCTAGAAAGAGACACTTTAATTTAAGATTTCACATGGACATGAATATTAAAAACGTTAAAGTTGGCTATGAGCAAACGATGCACAAAAATAAAGCCTCAACCCATCTCAATATTCTGTTTCAGTGGGAAGTACATTTACATTTACATTTAGTCATTTAGCAGACGCTTTTATTCAAAGCGACTTACAAATGAGGACAAGGAAGCAATTTACACAACTAAGAGCAACAATGAATAAGTGCTATAGGCAAGTTTCAGGTCTGTAAAGTCTAAGAAGGGAAGTATTAGTAGTATTAGTATTTATTTATTTATTTTTTTGGTACAGTTAGTGTGATATTCAGAGAGGCAATTGCAGATTAGGAAGTGAAGTGGAGACTAAATAGTTGAGTTTTTAGTCGTTTCTTCAAAGTAGCGAGTGACTCTGCTGTTCTGATGCAGTTAGGGAGTTCATTCCACCAACTGGGCAGATTGAGCGTGAGCGTGAGCAAAAGTGATTTCTTCCCTCTTTGGGATGGAACCACGAGGCGACGTTCATTCACAGAACACAAGTTTCTGGAGGGCACATACATCTGCAGAAGTGAGAGCAGATAAGAAGGAGCAAGGCCAGAAGTCACTTTGTAGGCAAACATCAGAGCTTTGAATTTGATGCGAGTAGCAACCGGCAGCCAGTGCAAACGGACTAGCAGCTGAGTGACATGTGCTCGTTTAGGTTTATTGAAGACCACTCGTGCTGCTGCGTTCTAGAGCAGTTGAAGAGGCTTGATAGAGTTAGCTGGAAGCCCAGCTAGTAGAGAGTTGCAGTAATCCAGTTTGGAGAGAACAAGAGCTTGAACAAGGAGTTGAGCTGCATGTTCAGATAAGAAGGGTCGGATCTTTCTGATGTTGTAGAGTGCGAATCTGCACGATCGAGCAGTTCTAGAAATGTGGTCAGAGAAGTTTAGTTGGTCATCAATCGTTACTCCAAGGCTTTTCACCATTTTGGATGCAGTAATGGTTGCCCCATCCATCTGGATTGAAAAGTTATGGTGTAGAGTCGAGTTGGCAGAAACTACAAGCATTTCCGTTTTTGCGAGGTTCAGCTGAAGATGATGATCTTTCATCTAGTGTGAAATGTCCAACAGGCAGGCTGAGATGCGAGCTGGAACCGAGGGATCATCAGGATGAAAAGAGAGGTATAGCAGTGACTCGAGCGTAGATAGCAGGATCTGGTGGTTGACAGTGTCAAAAGCAGCTGACAAGTCCAGCAAAATGAGGACTGATGATTTAGAGTCTGCTTTAGCCAGTCTGAGATCCTCCACGACCGAGAGCAGGGCAGTCTCAGTTGAGTGGCCTTTCTTAAAGCCGGATTGCTTGTTGTCCATGAGATTGTTTTGAGTAAGAAAGTCCAGGACTTGATTGAACACTACTTTCTCCAGAATCTTGGCCATGAATGGAAGCAGGGATACTGGTCTGTAGTTTTCAAGTAGCGTATGGTCCAGGTTGGGTTTCTTTAGCAGTGGGGTTACCCTAGCCTGCTTAAATGAAGTGGGGAATAAACCAGAGTCAAGAGATGTGTTAATTATGTGAGTCAGTGTTGGTATGACTGCAGGAGAGATGGCTTGCAAGAGATGAGAGGGAATGGGATCGAGTGGACAGGTGGTTGCATGGCTAGATAGCACGAGTTTGGACACCTCAGACTCAGGGAGCTGAGAAAAAGAGGTGAGTGTGTGTGGTGTTGGTGGTGTATCTTGCGTGTTTGTCGTAGGTGCAGCAAATTGAGCACTGATTTTTGCAGTTTTGGTGCAAAAAAATGTAGCAAAGTCATCAGTAGTAAGTGTGGAGGATGCGGGTGGAGGAGGAGGATAGAGGACATCAACATGCTGAAATAAAAGTCTCAGCAACTTCCGCTTTACACAGAATTAAATGTTCTTACCTCAAACTGTCTGCCCTGCACAAAGGGAAATCCTCCTTCCCTCTCCTCAGGACCCCAGAGACCCCCGAGCTGTGAATTTCGTACGACGGTGTTCTCGTGGAAGCGAGGGTTAAAGTGGAAAACCACTTCATGCCCCCTCATAAAGTCTACATGGAACCTGAGAAAGGAGAAGTGTGTTTTGACAAAGAGAGTGGGACATGTAGAAGTCATGCTAGGGTTGGTTACATTAGTGTCTGTGTTTTTACCTGTCTCCTCCTATTATTGGTTCACCCACTATGGTGATGAGCAGGTGTGGCATAATCCCAGCGCGCAGTGGGAGATCATACGGCAATGGCTGAAACACAAACAAACTATGTGAGATCCTTAACACTTGCAAAAGGTCTCCAGTAAAAAATTATATACATAAATGAGGCACAGGTTTCCATCTTTATTACAGATGCTGAGATCGCAAAAAGACACACAATATTACAAATCTAAATTGAAAACAATGACTCTGCCTGGTCAGAAAAGATGTTTTGTATGGATTTAAAGGGACAGTTCACAAAAAAATAGTAATAATTTTGCCATCATTTACTCACTCCTGACTTGTAATCAAGTTTTTTTTCTGTTGAAAACAAAAGACGATATTTTGAAGAATATTGGAAACCTGTAACTAGGCCCACACGGAATCTTTTTTTCCCGGAGATTTTCTGCAGAATTTCGCAGATGTCTGCAGATTTTTAGCCCATTATTAATTTTGTTTATTTGCTTGAGTAAATGTGTAAATCTGAATTTATTCAGTTTTTATTCAGTAATTTATTACTTTTTATTCAATATATTAAGGTTTTAGTTATGATACTCCGCTGGATACTCCCAAAATAATTCCGCTGAATTCCACAAATTTTTACCAAAATTCTCAGCAGAAATAGCAAAAAACCATCCGCAGATTCCGTCTGGCCCTGCCTGTAACCACTGACTTCCATTGTATTTTTTTTCCTACTACTGGATGTCAATGGTTGCAGGTTTCCAACTGAATTCAAACTTAATTACATGAGTCAAGTTATTAGCTTTTTATTTTTCGTAAACAACTATTATAGAATGGCTGTCGTAGGATGTAGGATGATAATGCATTGCAAACGCATTGATCAGGATAAACTGCTTTATTTTCACATATGAAATGACAATTAACCCTAAAAAACTAAACTGCCTGTCACTAAAGGGGTTTAAAACCTTTATGAACTTGTTTCTTCTGTTGAGCTCAAAACAAAATATTCTGAAGAATGTTGGGAAAGCCACTGACATCTTTAGTAGAAATAAAAATATTTCTTAGAAAAAAAAAATCTTCAGTATATCTTCCTTTTTGTTTAACAGAAGAACAAAAAAAAATCCAAAAGGTTTGAAACAAGTGGAGGATGACTAAATGATGACAGGATGTTTTATTTTGGGGTGAACTACCCCTTTAAACCCGTTTGAAAGTCTTTAGAATGTACTCAAGTAGACTTTACAGAATGTTTTCTCTCCGCAGGGTCAGATGGTGAGAGTCCGTAGGATCCTCTTAAGTGTTGGTTATGATGTACCATTGTTTTGACGACCTAATGCAAAATGCCACAAAGCATATTTTCAAGAGCTGCATTCATTTTTTTTTCTCATGGAATTTTTATTCTTGCAACGGCATACAACCCACACACCATATACAATCCTATCTAGCCCCTACAAAAATCCCCAAATAAACATCAACATCTGATGGAAAAAAATTGCAATAATAATAACAAACCATATATATATATATATATATATATATATATATATATATATATATATATATATATATATATATATATATATATATATAAACACACACACACACACACATACCTCCACTCAATCCACAGCTAAGGTTTTAAAATCATTAAAGAATGCAATCAATTGTTTTTTTTGTTTTTTTTTCTGTTCTCCTCTACCTCTGATCCTGTATTCTCAAGTTTTAAAAAGAAGACCAAATCTTTGAGCCACAAAGAAATAGAGGGGCGTTGTGGGGAGGTCCAAGACAACAGAAAAGAGATGCAAAAGCTACAATGTCAGCTTGTTTCTGGTTTAAAGGTTGACACTGAGATGGAGCACCAAATATTGTGATTAAAGTGCAAAAAGCTAACTTGACCTGCATTCAGAAACTATTTTAAAGAACAAAATTCAATTTTGCAATTTGGGACAAAATACAAACATATGAATAAGGTTACATTGTGAAAGTTTACATTTATCACACATATCTGAAACATTGGGATATATTTTAGAAAGTTTGGCCTTTCATTTTTATATTGATAATGGCAGCATCTTCACTATTTGCCCCAAGGGGTCCTCTGTCAACTCCAGCATCATGATTTTTAATGGGGTTAAAGTCTAGAGCTCATATTGTTTTGCTGATTTTATCAGCCGCTACAAGCCTATCGCCAAAGTATCGATATCCGCAAATCAGCCACCAATATTACCATTTTTTAAAAAAAACATATTTTACAGAAAACAACACATACAAAATGATTGAATTATGACTAGTGAAGTAGTCCTTGCTCAGTTGTTTGCTACTGGAAACCAGACAACCTGTTCAGTCAGTAAGAAGGCCAGAGGCATTCAAGCGCTGATGTAACAGTACATTGCTGATTCGTTTGTTACTGCAAAGTTAATAAACAATAACCTTTTTAGAGTTTTCCATACATTGACCTATTATAATTTATTCAGTTATTCACATTTAGAATAGCTGTGCTTCCATGATAAACCTGCACCTGTTGGATTGGCACATCATGAACTGTTTGATCAGCACAACTGAGTGATCATCGCAAATAAATGCGTTTCTCTATCTATTACTTTTAGGTATATACTGTATTTTTTATACAGTTAAATTAGTCAAAAGTCAAATTAGTCAGTTAAATTAGTCAAAAGTTTGGACACATGAATGGGAAAGTGTCCTTGACTGATACTGTAGTATAATACGCACATAAAGAATATCGGCGAATATATTGATTGATATGGGTCGGGCTCCATTTAGTTTAATTGGTGGAAAGTCATGTGTGAAAATGAAGCTGACTTTTACAAATTAAACCAGATGAATTTCATCCTGTAATTGACATGGCCGTTTTACAATTAAAAAAAACTACACACTACATCAGTTGGAATTTAAACCATTTTTGTGGGGGAAGAAAACTAAATATATGCCAGAAACATTTGAATCGCTGTAATAACCAATCACATCCACAAAACTGCAATCTGTAAAGTGTTTGCTTCTTTATCCAAAACAGCAACGTGTAAAAGCTCATGAATTATCAATAGCAGTATGGATCACAACATTGATATTGTTCATATGATATACAAAATGAAACTTTCATTAAAAAAAAAAACGTTTCAGATAATCTGGTTGAGATTTGCATAAAAAAGGGATAGTTCACCCAAAAAGGAAAATGTACCCACTTCCCCCCATGTCATTGCATTCCTTTATGAGTCTTTTTTTCCATTTAAAAACATTTGTTTCAACTCATATAATATCATATAACAAGTAAAAGTTCGACAAAACGTTTTTGATTGAAGTATTGGTGTTTACTCTTATGTATTTTGGTGAGGGTTAGATGACTTCAGACCCTTCAAAATTCTAAATAAAAAATGCATGAATACATGAATTTGATGTTTGTTAATCTTGGATAAGCCTTATAACTCTGACCCAGAGATTCAGACATGACGTGCAGAGACCTGACAGCCTTCAACATCTGTTAATAACTTCTCCCATGATGCAGAGTTTCTTCCATTCTCCATAATAAAATTCCATTGCGGTCTTTTCCATAGTGTGCAAAATATCAGAAAACCCTCCCTGACACGAAACAGAACAGTATTTTCCACTTTTCACTATAAACTAAAACTTTTCCTATAACAGAAGCTAAGTCATAAACACTCGTGTTTATACTAAACAGAAAACACCCAAAACAAGTCAAACGCGCATTCGGAAACATCCTCTTGTTCCAGCTATAGCCACGTCACCGATCACATGACAAACCACCAGAAGGAAATCTGACATCATTTAGTTTACAAACATCTTTGCTATGGCAGCACTGTGATAAATCTCATAAACAGCCAATCCCTGATTCCAAAGTGTCTCCAGTGCCTCCAGTGAATAAAGCCTGGCCTGATTAATCAATCACACACTAATCTATGAACAAACAAAAACCTGACACACATACATATTAAAGATGCTTGTGTAAATTCAAATTTTATATCATTCTACACTCACCGGCCACTTTATTAGGTACACCTTACTAGTACCAAGTTGGACCCCTTTTGCCTTCAGAACTGCCTTAATCCTTCGTTGTATAGATTCAACAAGGTACTGGAAATATTCATCAGAGATTTTGGTCCATATTGACATGACAGCATCACGCAGTTGCTGCAGATTTATCAGCTGAACATCGTGATGAGAATCTCCAGTTCCACCACATCCCAAAATTGCTCTATTGGATTGAGCTCTGGTGATTGTGGGGGCCATTTGAGTACACTGAACTCATTGTCATGTCCACGAAACCAGTCTGAGATGATTCGCGCTTTATGACATGGTGCATTATCCTTCTGGAAGTAGCCATCAGAAGATGGGTACAATGTGGTCATAAAGGGATGGACATGGTCAGCAACAATACTCGGGTTGGCTGTGGTGTTGACACCATGCTCAAATAGTACTAATGGGCCCAAAGTGTGCCAAGAAAATATCCCAACACCATTACATCACCAGCCTGAATCGTTGATACAAGGCAGAATGGATCCATGCTTTCATGTTGTTGATGCCAAATTCTGACCCTACCATCCGAGTGTTGCAGCAAAAATTAAGACTCATCAGACCAGGCAACAGTTTTCCAGTCTTCTTTTGTCCAATTTTGGTGAGCCTGTGTGAATTGTAGCCTCACTTTCCTGTTCTTAACTGACAGGAGTGGCACCTGATTGGCCTTCCGCTGCTGTAGCCCATCCGCCTCAGAGTTGGAAGTGTTGTGCGTTCAGAGATGCTCTTCTGCATACTTCGGTTGTGATGAGTGGTTATTTGAGTTACTGTTGCCTTTCTATCAGCTTGAACCAGCCTGGCCATTCTCCTCTGACCTTTGGCATCAACAAGGCATTTGGGCCCACAGAACTGCCGCTCACAAGAAACCCTTGAGATGGTTGTTCGTGAAAATCCCAGTAGATCAGCAGTTTCTGAAATACTCAAGACCAGCTTGTCTGGCACCAACAACCACGCCACGTTCAAAGTCACTTAAATCCCCTTTCTTCCCCATTTTGATGCTCTGTTCGAACTGCAGCTGAATGTCTTGACCCCGTCTACATGCCTAATTGCATTGAGTTGCTGCCATGCGATTGGCAGATTAGAAGTTTGCGGTATCAAGCAGTTGTATCTAATAAAGTGGCCAGTGAGTGTATACTTAAGCCCACTACTGTTAAAAATGTTCAAAACAGTAATGAATACTTTATCCAGCAAGGATGCATTATAACTATATTTTCTGTAGTTTTGAACAATTTACAAAATATGTATATTTTAAATAATGCTGTTTGTTGGCCATCGCAAAGATCAAAGAATTTAAACATTGCATAATGGTTTCCAAAATATTAAGCAGCAAAACTAGTTTTATCATTGATAATAAGCAGAAATAAAGAGCACATTAGTATTTCTGAAGGACCCTGTGACACCGAAGGCTGAAGTAATGATGCTGAAATTTATTTGTCATTGATTGTCATAGGTTTAAGCTCTCATACAGTATAATATCACTCTCTCATATATAAATATAACAACTTCAACCTCTCAGCATTACCAGAAACAAATAATAAATACAGCCCATACAAATCCTTTAATCACAATATAGATTTAGATTGTTGCATCACTAAAACAATGATCTGCAATAATAGTAATAAGAATGACGAGTGTAATGTGCAGTAATTAAATATGTGCATTTGTTTGTAAAGCTGATATGCAAATATATGAATGTGATCTAGGTGTTAAATGTCTCTGACTGGATGTTAACTGGGGTCTGCGATGGCGTCCTCCTCCTGTGACTGCTTGAGCTGTTCATTGTGCTCAATAATATGGAGGTCTATGTAGTGGCTGAAAAACAAGAAGACAAGCTTTTGAGATCTCCATAAGACGTGAATGAGTTTCAGATCTGCAGGTGTAAAGTGAGGAGACCCCAGCAGGACAGTCCCCCAGACCTCAAGAACCGAACAGACAACCCTGAAAGCAACGTGGATGTCACCAACATTTTGACCAAACCAACTCCAGCAGAGCCGTCACCAAACCAAACCCATCACAAGCAGACTTACACGTGCAAACCCATTTATAGACTGGAGTTTAACTCACCATTCCACCTGGAGCTGCAGGTCCTCCGTATGGTCCCATGGGCCCGGGACCGTAGCCTCCTGGTGGGCCTGGGTGAGCAGGAAAGCCTCCTCCTGGTTGTCCCCAAGATCCTGGTGGTACTGGAGGAAACATTCCTCCTCCATATCCTGGACCTCCATCTGGTGGAAAGGCACCAGGGCCTCCGGGGCCGTACATGCCAGGTCCGGATGGACCTGGTGGGTAAGGCACGTTTGGATTGGGACCCTGTGGAGCCCCAGGTGGGGAGGGGAATTGTCCAGGAACAGGATATGGCATGGGTGCCCCACCTGGTGGGAACTGACCTGGCATAGAGGGGAACTGTCCTGGAGCTCCAGGGTTAGGAGGGAACTGTCCTGGTACGCCCGGTCCTGGTGGGTATCCGCCTGGGGCAGCTGGGGCTCCAGGGAACTGGCCTGGGGCAGCAGGGGCTCCAGGGAACTGGCCTGGGGCTCCTGGGCCAGGAGGAAAGGATCCAGGGGCAGATGGCCAGGTCTGGGGGAAGCCAGCAGGTTGGACAGGGCCTCCAGAAGGTGGGAAATGAGGGCCGCCAGGGGCTGCACCAGGCCAGCCAGGATTAGTGGGTGGGGGAGCTCCATTTCCAGGAGCTGATGGATTGGTGTGCTTATTTTTTGATGCTTCACTAGGAACATCATCTGGGATTGCGTCTGCAAGCTACAGGAGAATAATAGGAGAAATAACACATGAGCTAGGCATTTTATCAGAAAGACTTCTGCTCTGTTATTATCATTGAAAAGACAAAGACTAACTAGGGCAAACAGTAGAGTCCAAAAGTCTGAGAACAGATTTAAAGAGCCCATATTATACATGAAATAGGGTCATATCTTGGTTGTAAGGGTCTCCAACAACAGTCTAATATGCATGCAAAGTCAAAAAACACTTTCATGGTCTTATAATCTGCTTTTATTTTTACCTAATTATCCCAGCGACTCCTGTATGAATCGTCCAGTGATTCATTTGTTCCCAAACCCCTCCTTAGCGCGAAGCTAATCTGCGCTGATTGGACCGATGACAGTCTGTCACGATTGGTCGACTGCCTTCAGTCAGAGAATGAAATGCCTAATAGCTAATCAGCAATATAAAAGTAATCACAGTTCATACGCGCTCCATAGTGTAGGCGTGGATTTAAGCTGCCACACACACACACACACAAACACCTCTGGACGACAACGCTCCCGCTTCCGCCCGCACCCGCCAGGTTTTAGCCTGAACCCGACCGCTCCCGCTTATATTTAGAATTTCTTGTCCCGGTGCCCGAACCGCCCCGTTTTCTGCCTGCCGCGCCCGATCCCGCTAAAGAGCGGGGGAGAACATAACCGAAAATCACCCAGCTAAACAGTCCAGAGACAGCCAGACAGAGCTCTCTCTCTCTCTCATACGCGCGCACTAACACATACACACAAGCGCCAAGCAGACACACAGGCAGGCAAAGCTCTGTCTCATTCGCATAGCAATATCCACGATATTGCTAGACAGCCCGCTCCCGTCCCAAATTAAACCTGTTACCGACCGCTCCCGCGATTGATTCGGAAATTTGCAGACCTCTACCACGGAGCTCCGTAAACAAACAGCACGCGTCACGTTTTTAACGTGACTTTGCACGCGATAAGAGAATATAGCCAGTTAACCTGATACAGTACACGCGGTTACAAGTAACAAATCACAACTAAATACATTTGCAAGCTAGAGTCAACGAGGCAACTTTAATCGCACGTACTTACATTTGAGAAATGGAGGAAGAAACTCATCCTGACGTCCATTAGTAAGTTACTCTTTACTGATCCTTACTTTAACAAACGCAGATGAAGTATTCTTTGTAGCCTGTAGTTTCCAGAAGTTTCCAACTGCTTGGTTATAATGCTGAGGTTTCATCTCTGGGTAGAGAATCGATAATGTCCATCTGCAGTGTGACTTCAATCGACCGGCATGTTTGTGTGCGTGTGTTTGTGGGTGTGTGTGTCTGGGTTTCTGCGTAGAGGGCGGGGCCTCAGGTTTGAAATCTCCCGGGTTTGCGCGTGCACGTGAATAACTTGGTTTTCGGTTCGTACGTCATGGCGAAACACCTAATGAATCGGTATCAAGGCGACTCGTTTGAAGCATTATGAGTCGACTCTTTTATAGATGAATCAACCGTTTTAAACACTGTATTCTTACAGATTTAAGCCTTAGCTGGATACTTCACTTCACTTAGAGCTGTGTTACACACTACATGGAGGGGAATTTTCAAAAACCCATAATATGGGCTCTTTAAGATATGGAAAATGAAAACAAAATAAACCTGAAAATTGAATTTTTGAAAAACAAAAATAAACATGTTCTGAATTGAATTGTTCTGGAAACACAAACTTTGAGACAAGGAAAGTTAGAAATGTGTTTCCACTGAAGCACAAACATGATTTTTGAATCATTCTCAAATCATACTGGACAAGCACAAACATCAGGCCTCGATTATAACTGGATTCTACAGCAGGTGTGCATCTGTCATTTGTGCAAAATGACAAATCAAATACAAATATCTTTTTATAGTTTGAATTAGGATGAACAGCCCTTTTGTGAATTTATCTTTTTTATATTTATCAACTTATGTTTAACAGAACAAGCACATTTTCACAGTATTTCCTAATATATAATTTTCTTCCTAATGTATATATTATCTCCTTCAGTTTGGCCTGAATTAAAGTTTTTCAATATTATTATATTTTAGTCAATATTATAACCCACTTAATAACAAAACACTATGTGCTGAATAAAGAATATGGTCTACATTCACCTTTGGGGAAGTATAACGCACTCTACAGTCATTTATACTAGTGGAATCACGGATAAAAAAAAACACACAAAGTTTCTTATTGTACTAACACAGGAGGAAATGCATTCCAAACTGCTGAAAGTGAATTGTTCAACAGGATTATTCATTAACAGTTAAAAAGAAAGGAAACTTACCGAAAAGTCTGCCATGGCCTAAAAGAAAAACAAACGGTGACAATTAATGACATGCAATAACATACAAACCTCATTCTGTCATAAATCTTGAACGTGTAGCCAACTAATAATGAAAACGCTATTAATAGAGAGTAGCGTCACAGGAGCCAACACATTCTCGAAGGCGACTATTTTAGCCACTATACTTTAAACAAATCTCTTATTTAGGTTGAAATCAGGCTCCATTCCAAATAAACATACACTAATGTGCGGCAGGACTACACACATGCGCGTTTTGAGTGAAATGTGTGCAGTTTTGTGGTAATCAGCACCTCGCCTGGATCGGGGCCTGCGGTCCGAGGATTCGGGCTTTTGAGAAGTACCAGGTCCCGTCGCCCGAAAAGATCCGAAAGTCAGAATTACTAAACTCTATACAGGAAGTGAGGTGATAACTGGAACATTGAGGCTTTTCAACGGCGTGTTTAACAACATCGTGAGCAACAAAGTATATGGATCAGACGGCACACGCTGTAGTCAAAGGCAAGAAACAATCTACTGTGTTTATAGATCAGATATGAGCGTTATGCACGCGCACGTTCCCCGATGGGCGTGTCATCTGAGGGATGGGCTGGCTCATTTGCGCATGCGCGGAGTTTGCTAGAGGAGGGGGTGTTTTCTGATCTGGGACGCTTCAAATAAAACAACCATTCCAGTAAAACGACAAATCAAGGTTGACAAAATGTTTACTATTAAACTAGGAGGCCAAACATGTGTCAAATATACATATATAAAATAATCTTATTAATGTGTGGGGCATACCCAAATACAATTCAAAACATTTGTTTAATTACACTAAAGTTTGGGATCAAACATTGTTTAATTTCATCTATTAAATTATTTTGTTTTATATTTACTTCAATTAATTTATTAAGCCTTTAAGAACACTTAAATAACCAATGGTTGCATTTTCTAAAATGTGCTATATATTTGTATATATATTTCACTAAAATCTTATTTTACGTTACTTTGATTTTGAATTAAAACGTCAAAAACGATTTCACATTTAATGTGACAAGCAATATTTGAATACATTAAATGTATTCATTTGGCGCAGGATTTTCTCAACCCTGCAGGTACTAGGGTGATAGGGGTATATGGAAATTTATTGAAAAAGCACATAAACAATTATAGTTATAATAAATATATAAATAATAATCCTCAATAAATACTTTAAAGTAAAAATAAGAATATTAAATTATTAAAATAAATATATAAGCAAATGCCCTTCCAGCTGAAGCACAGCAGTGAGAAACACCCGTACACTCTGGCATTCACAAACTCATAAACTAAGTTTATTCAATTCACCTAGCACATGCCTTTGTACTGTGGGGAAAACTGGAGCACCCAGAATAATCCCATGCAAACATGGGGAGAACATGCAAACTCCACATAGAAATGTCAACTGGCCCAGCCGGGACTCAAACCAGCAACCTTCTTGCTGTGAGGTGACAGTGCTAACCACTGAGCCACCATGTCATCATATATATATACATCAGGGGTGTCCAAACTCGGTCCTGGAGGATCGGTGTCCTGCTGAGTTTAGCTTCAACTTGCTTAAACACAACTACCCATTAAGTTTCTAGTATCTAGTAAGAGCTTGATTAACTGGTTCAGGTGTGTTTGATTAGGGTTGGAGCTCAACCCTCTAGGACACTAGCCCTCCAGGACCCCTCTGATAAACATGAATTTATTTTTATTTTTTTTGCAAGCCTCTTATTGATGTGTGAGATATACCCAAATACAATTCAAAGTTTGGTAAAAAAAATGGTTTGATTATTTAGCAAAAAAAAAAAAAAAAAAAAAAATTTTAATTAATTAAAAAAAAATGTGTATATATATATATATATATATATATATATATATATATATATATATATATATATATATATATATATATATATATATATATGTGTGTGTTAAAAACTGTTTCATTGTAAATGTGACATTTATAAATGACTTTTAAGAAACAATATTTGAATACATTGAATGTATTAGCTTAGGGCATTATATGATATATATACATACTAATCCTTAATAAATACTTTAATAATACTTTAATTTAAATAAAAATGAGATTTAATACACGGTAAAACCTAACAGTCAACTTTATCAAATGAAGAGTGTACTTAACTCAAAATTGACTGAAAGTTAATTCTACTCATTTGAAAAGAGTGAACTCAGTGTTGAAGGTAATGAGTTAATTAAGTACTTTAATACTTTTACCTAAATAGAGTAAGTTCACAGAACTCATATAGTTTAATTCAATTCAATTCAATTCAGCTTTATTTGTATAGCACTTTTACAAATGTAGATTGTGTCAAAGCAGCTTCACATAAATGGTCATAGTAACTGGATCAGGGTAGTTCAGTTTTTAGTGTTTAAGTTCAGTTCAGTTTAGCTCAGTTCAGTGTGATTTGAAATCAATACTTAGTAGTCCAAACTCTGAAGAGCAAAATCATCGATGCGTATAGCTCTACAGATCCTGAACCATTCAAGTCAGTGGCGACAGCGAAGAGGGAAAAAAACTTCACCAATAGGAGAGTGAAGAAAAAAAACCTTGAGAGAACCAGACTCAGTTTGGCACGACCATTTTAATTTCTCCACTGGCCAAAAGTCTTGTGCAGAGCTGCAGTCTCAGTGGTGGAGGCTGGAAGCTGGCCTCAGCGAAGACTCGTCTGTCCCTGGAGCACCACTGGAATCAGTCTCATGATTCCATGACCACCACCGCAGCAGCAGCTCAGGATACAGCCTGGTCCCGGATATGGACACCTTGGGATCATCTCGTTGTAGGTCTTGGATCCAATCAGTGACTCCACATAATCTGAGGACCTCGGGATGAGTATCCCCAGGTGGAATGGAGAATAAAGCTCAAACTCAAATAATTTGTTGCAATCGGTTTCCCTTAAACGGTTTAAGTTGTCTTAACTTGTTGGGTTTTACAGTACTCAGTTGCTTTGAGTTCTCTTCATTTATTGGGTTTTACTGTGCTCAAATTGCTTCATTTACTCAAATGAATTAAGTTCACAGTACTCATTAGGATTAGTTTTTGAACTCAAATGGTTTGTTGCAATCAGTTTGCTCAAATGGTTTGAGTTACTTTAACTTTTTGGGTTTTACAGTGTAGTAAATTATTAAAATAAATATATAAATAATACATTTTGTATTATTAATTCAATAATCTAACGTTTATAATAGTGATCACAAATATTATTTAAAAACAATAAATATAAAACACAAATACATGTAAATAAATAATTCATGAATACCTGCAAATAAATAAATGCTTACATTTTAATACAGTACTATTTGAAGAAAACCGTCCGAAACACTTCTGTTTAACTTAGTACAGTACTATCTTAGAGGCGTGTATAATGTTCATATAATGTATAACATGTTAGTATATGGATACATAGTGAAGCATTGAAAACCGCTGACATAAGCCAGTTTTGTTGAATGGCATGCACTACTTAGTTCATTTATTCTGAGCGAACAACCAACGTGTATCATTTCCCCGCAGGGCTGGAGAGATAGAAACACACATCCGATAGTTCTTTCCTCGCGCATCAGTCCGAGTTCGTGTCGAAACATCGCTGTTCTGGGATCAGAGTCAGACACAGGAGAAAGAGCTGATCCTGGAACAGCCTGTTATGCATATCCTAGAGCGTTTCCGCGCTCTGATTGGACAAACGAGCGTCACGAGACTCGGCACGGTAGAACTCCTGCACTGCTGAGCTCGTGCTGTCTGTGAAAATGGTGAGTACAAAAAACTGCCTTGGATTAATGAAAGGATTTTAATGACGGGGCTGAATTATAGCCTGTAAAATAACACGTAGGGGTATCCAAATGTCGCTGTACGCTCCAGGGGTCTGCGATTCGTGAATGTTTAGACGGGCTGTTTTTTCCTGAGCCCTGTTGCAGTTCCACCCAATGCTTTGTGATGAGCTGCATGTCAAACCCTTTTCTGCATTTCAGCGACTCAATAAAGTAGTCATAAAAGGCGCATTTGGCGTTACATTTACACTGAAGCTGCGTTAAGGGTTTGAAAGGGTCAGGGTCGCCTTACATAATTGCGATATGATGGAATTCCGGCGGCTCCGGGGGATTTCTCATTTCCTGTCGCGGGCAGGGACGTGCTCACACTTCAGGATTTCAGGGAAATTTGGAAAATCTGCTGAGCGACAAACAGCCGGCGAGGATCCTCTGATATGAATGGCACGTCGAACCACGGTTAAACAATGTTTTTTTCAGAGCAGAAATGGCAAACGGTGAAATAAAATAAAGGTGGACTGTTTGCATTCCACCAGCACTGCACGTCAAAACACGTTTGCTCACTTTTTCCACCATATCAGCAACGTGAAACGTCATTGTCCCTCCTGATGACATCAGTGTGATGACCCACACCAGTTTTCATGGTGCTTGAGTTTTGTGAGCCCTTCATTGTTGTGAAACACCCTCCATCTGGGTGCTGTGGGGTCAGAGTAAACCAGCAGATTATGAATTAAAGTTTGTTATTATATTTTCACAATCCTAAGGAATATAGTATAGTTTCCTTGGTTGGATGTTACTATAAGGGTGTGTTCACACAGGGCAGGTTTGGTTCCATTAAAGTAGAATCTGCTGTGATTTTTCTGTCTGATGGTGCTGCTTATTTAAATAAGTGTGAACGCTGCCCACAAGCAGACCAAGATCTGAAATCACCCACTATACCCTCAATTAGTGCAATTTATAGTGTCCGAAACGATAGTGAACTCAATCAATCCCACAATGTACAGCATAACGAGTCTACAATCCATACATTTAACAGCTAGGAATCTCCATAATGCACGCAAGTTCAATTAAATCTGTCTGCGGACTGCAAGACGGGGGTGTAAGATGAAGGGGAGTAACAATGTAGTAAGTTAGTGGCGTAACTTGCAGTTATCGAGATCCCATTGAACAGTACAAAAAGTCACAGCAAGGTGTTGTTGGCAAGATACCAGAAATACTTACCAGAGAACATTTTTACCAAATCTTTTCATGAGTTTTTTTCTAAATGTATTCACAACCTATATATTTGATGTATTATTATATTCATTCATTTCGCAACTCCACCATGCAACTCCCCTCCACACTACTTCGTCAGTTTTGTCATGACAGTTGTGAAAATCTCAGCAACTCACAGCTGTACGTTAAAAACTGTGATGGTTGGGTTTAGAGTTTGGGAAGGTAAAGACGTTAGTAACGATGATGGTTTTGTATATGGTTGGTTTAGGTATAGAAGTTAATATCTTTGATGGTTGGGTTTAGGTATAGAGTAGGTGTTAATGTTAAGTGTAAGATGTACAGCGCCATCTTGCCGACAACATAGTTTTGACATGTCTCCATAACTTCAAGTTACGCCTCGAACGTACCACAAGTTACACCCTTGTCTTGCAGTCCACAGACAGACCTTATTCCGCGAGTTTCCAGGCTGAATGAATTTCCGCTTCTGACCACTAGATGGCATCTAAAGCGA